TTTTTTTTCTTTTTCTTCAAAAGTTTCATACGTGAGAAATACATTTGTTCCTCTTTCCTTTTTCGGTTTGTGTATTATAATTTTTTTGGTGGGTTTATTAAGATTTGAAATTTAGACAAATATACAAGAAGATGTCGAATTTGCAAAGTAATTTCAATCAGAAGATCGACTACGTGTTCAAGGTGGTGCTGATCGGAGACTCAGCGGTGGGAAAGTCTCAGCTCTTGGCTCGTTTTGCTCGGAACGAGTTCAGTTTGGAGTCAAAAGCAACAATTGGGGTTGAGTTCCAGACTAAGACGCTCGTGATCGACCACAAAACCATCAAGGCCCAGATTTGGGACACCGCTGGTCAAGAAAGGTTAGTGCTTTTCTAATTTATTTGTATTTAATTATATAATTTAAGGAAGTTTCTGTGCTTTGGTGATTTGAGTTTTTTGATGTGGGTTTTTTGGTGTTTACAATTTATTATGTGGGTTTGCTTGAATTTTATTTTGTGTTCTTGTTTGAGATGTGATCATGTGAATGATCACCACGATTTTGCTGAATTAGAAGGGCAGTCCATGTTTTGGTAAAGTCTTTAGCCCAAAACAACCCCTGCCCTGAAAAATTTGTGGAAATGTAGATATGAATCCAATATAACGAACAAGTTGTGGAACGTTGCAAGATCTAGTAAATTTACCATAATCCAATACAGTCTCCTCAAACACATAAAGATAGATGCTTGATAAACTGACATTCTCTGTGGGTTATAACAACGAAGAATCACTGAATAAAGGAGTTGCCAACTAGACGTTATGATCACTCAAGATTGAACTAATATGCTCAGCAAGTGACCTGATGTTTTAACTGCTGGGTGGAGCAAGTTTTGTTTCCAATTTATTAGCACAGGATATTAGAAACACAAAACAGTCTTACTAATGGGTATTTTTTTCTTTTTTTTCCTTTCTTTATTTCTGTGTAAAAAGAAATAATGCAAAAGTTACTGATTTCTATGTATTCTAGGAAGCTAACAATTTAAACCAAAATAGTTTAAAGCTTAAACTATATGTGGGTGTGTGATTCGACCCTCTTGTGGTGAGGATGCTAGGATGGAAGGAGTGATATTGTGAGCTTGGTTACATGTAAAGGCCCAAGGAACTTAAGTTGCTTATTTACATTTAAAGTTATATTCAGTGTTTACGGTGATCCTAGTCCCATAGAGTTTTGGTGATATTGGATGTTTAAAGTTGTTGCAATATAGCAGTTAAAGGTATTCTTGTTGGAAAATTCTCGTAGATTCATTTCTCTTTTCTAACATAAAATCATTCCATAGTTATATTATTGTTTTAAGGGTGTTTTCCCAGCTGGTGGAGTATGCTAGTCAGGTTTCACCTCTGTTTTTCTTTTCTAAAATAAAACCTTTTCATAGTTGCTTTTGTTAAGATTTTTCGTCTCCCTGCTAATGGAGTAAGCTGGATGGGCGTGACCTCTGCTTTGATGAAAAAAAAGTGAAATAAGGATTTCAAAAAGCTTTTCTTGAGCTGATATGCAATTTGCACCTTGCTAGTAAGAGATTCTTATATAAGTATAGTGTGTGTGCGGAGGAGGGGAGGGAATAAATAGATAGAGAGATCTATGTTTCATTTAGTTACCCTGACATCTGTGTCTAACATGTGAAATAAACTCCTTTATTCTTGCCTCGGAGTCCATAGTCTTGTGCTTGTAAATTTTTATTCTTTTCACACTTCTGGTGCTGATCTCAGATACAGGGCGGTGACAAGCGCTTACTATAGAGGTTCAGTGGGGGCAATGCTGGTCTATGACATAACCAAGCATCAATCATTTGATCATGTAACCAAGTGGTTAGAGGAATTGAGGGGGCATGCTGACAACAATATTGTCGTGATGCTTGTAGGTAACAAGTCTGACCTTGGAACACTGAGAGCTGTACCTTCTGAGGATGCGAAAGAGTTTGCCCAAAGGGAGAACCTATTCTTTATGGAGGCATCAGCACTTGAGGCTACTAATGTTGAATCTGCATTTATTACAGTACTAACGGAAATTTATCGAATCCTTGGCAAGAAGTCCCTCATTGCCAATGACGAAGCAGAGTCGGAAGGGAGTGCCTCACTTCTCAAGGGTACAAAAATTGTTGTCCCTGGAAGAGAGCCCGAGCCTCAAGGAAATAGCTGTTGCTGGTCTTCATAGGATTGTAGCCTTTTAACCTTATCCTGTAACGTGGATTACTGCAGTTTATAGATCCAGTAATTTTCTTACCCTCTTTTCTTTAATCCCTTACCATTCAACTTCCACGTTTGTCATTGTTTGACATGGTTACATTTTTCCATCTTTCAGGAGAGAATTGTAATACAGCTCGTGGTACATCTGGTAATTAGTTTCACCCTCTTCTTGTAAAAAGCTGTTGGCAGCTGACCGGAACAGAAATCTCGGACTCAAACACGAAGTGATGTGATAAAAATTGACATGTACTTGCATGTAGTTAAAGATCGCATATATTTTATGATTTTTACAAGCATTTCGTGGGTGGAATAGTAAGGTTATTTTGGTTTGCGCAGGAGCGCACTCACCCACAAACATGCAACTACTAGACCAGACGAGAAGTAGCTCGTGAGAAAATGTGCTTGAGTTTGGTTGTGGAACAGCGTTGTATTTCACTATTTATTGAGTCTTACCATTGATGCATGAATTGCTTTCGAAGTAATTGATTCAACATTCTGTGATGGAGTTTTTGGCAACAGTTTTGAGCAGCTCATTCATACATGAATTGCCTTCAAATGATCGAAATTCATATTGAAATATTTCAATTCGGTAGAGTCCAAGCTAAACTGTCATAACCATGATCATGAATATTTACGTTTGCATTGAAAACCAGAGGAACTACTTAGTACCAGAAAAATAAATAAAAGTAAATATTAAGCATGCATAATTTTTTGTAGAGAGTCTAAGCTAAACTGTCATAACCATGATCATGAATATTTGCGTTTACATCGAAAACCAGAGGAACACTTGGTACCAGAAAAATAAATATAAGTAAATATTAAGCATGCATAATTTTTTGGCTATACTATTAATTTGAAGGAATTTTTAAAAAAAACAAGGATTATATAATTAATTTGATAAAAAATTTAAAAACACAGAGTATAGCAGCGCGCCTACACTACTAATTTGAATAAATATTAAAAAATAGAGTATAGCCGGGCGGGTGTACTATTTATTTATATATAAAAAACATAGTATTGCAGCACAGTCGTACTACTTATTAGATAAATGATAATTTTGGGAATTTTTACAACTAAATTTTTTCGCCATTATCTGATATTTTACAATAATTTATTTGAAAATTTATTATAAGTACATATTTGTATTTTATGTTTGATTTTTATAAATGAATAAAAAAAACCTTGTATTTTACCAAGTCTTTAAGACGTCTACGGAAAACGAAAGTATTATTAAAAAAATATATATGTACTTGTATAATACGAATATTTAACTGGAAAATATACAGATAATAACTATGGAAAAAATCACCATGAAGTATTATACGAGTATTGTACGGAAAATGAAAGTATTATTGATAAATATGTACTTACATGTATAATACAAGTATTAAATGAAATACTAAATTATTTATATGAATAATAACCCTGAAAATACTAGCCGCTCGGCTATACTATTAATTTGAGTAAATATTAAAAAACAGCGTATAGCCAGTCGGCTATACTATTATTTTAAAAAAAATAATTCAAAAACATGGAGTATAGCCGATCAGCTATACTTTTAAATTGAATAAAAATAAAAAATAAAAACGGAGTGCTATACAGTTAATTTGAATAAATATTTTTCAAACAAGAAGTATAGCCGTACGGCTAGACTATTAGTTTGAAAACAATTTAAGAAGGAAATAGTATAGCCGCGCGGCTATAGTATTAATTTTTAATAAATATTAAAAATATAGTTTTTTGGACGAAATTAAAAATATAGTATAGCCGTACGGCTATACAATCAATTTGAATATTTTTTTTAAAAAAAGCAGAGTATAGCCGATCGGCTAGACTATCAAATTTGAATTTTTTTAAAAAGCCGGAGTATCGCCGTTCGGCTAAACTATCAAATTTGAATTTTTTTAAGAAGCACAAAGTATAGCCGCCCGGCTATACTATTAAATTTGAATAAATATAAAAAAGGGATTATATCCTGGCGGCTATACTATTATTTTGAAAAACTTAAGCCGGTTATACTTTTATGTTGGGATGAGAATGGATTAATGCCGGCGAATTTTTTAATTCAGTAAAAAACTTAAGCCGACGAAGATGTTGCCTGGGTTTGAAAAATAGTCAATAGGCAGATCCAACGCAAATCCCTTATTTAGTCCAATTCCTCTCCTCTCTCCATCCTTTCCCTCCACCCCCATGATGCCGAGTACTCTTCCCCGGCGCCTCAATATTTTGGTGCTTACTACTCCTTGCTATGAGAGATGCTTGAATTCTTGCCCAGCAGACTTCCCCTCCAAAGAATGTGATTATATATGTACACATGATTGCTGTAATTTATTCAGACGTCTCTAAGCTTGTGTATATGAGAGATGTTGGGTTTGGTTATTATGTGGTACGCAGTGACTGAATATGTATTATTTTCTATAAACAATACAAGAATATGTAACAATAATCAGCAGTTTTTTTTTTTTTTTTTTTCTGTTAATTGGTTGTTCTTTTCAATTTATGAGAAAAGACAATTACATTACAAGTGCTAAAAGTGTTTCGATCGAGTTGTTATTTACACTTTAAAAAAGTTATCGTATGCTACGTTTATTCGCTACTTCATTAAATTGATACAAAGAAGTGTGTATAATATAGTGTAAAACAACCCTTTTAAATATAATTCAATTGACAATTCAATCTATATATGGTGTATCAAACGATCCCTAAGTATGCCCAATTATTTAATCACCACATGACAAAGTGGATATATAGGCAACTTGTAAGGTTTCACAGTATAGAAAACTATATAGAAGAGACAAATGGGTTGAAGTGAATGATAGGAAGCAATTCAAGTGGGTAAGCCATTGGTAAACTTATGCCTGCTCCAATCTCCATATTAACCTTATTAGCCTCATCACCATCTCCTTTTTTCCCAACCTTCCAATCAAAGCATTGAACCATGGTTGCAATTGCAGTGTTCACCAAGATAAGCGCCACCGCAGAGCCAAGGCACCGCCTCCTTCCCCCGCCAAAGGGAGCATAGTTGAAGTTCTGTTCGTTGGTTTGAGGACCTTGATCATTATACTCCACACTATCATGTACCTGATTAGAGGAAGCCAAGAACCTCTCGGGACGAAATTCATTGGGGCTGTCCCAAATCTCTATATCTCTCATAATTGCAAACACATTGGTGGCCACCATAACTCCTTGGGGGATATCAAAGCCTTTGATTTTACAATTTTGACGGCATTTTCTTATGATCACAGGAGATGGAGGGTAGAGTCTTAAAGATTCCTTCACAACTGCTTGCAAGTAAGGGAGATTGGGAATGTCCGTTTCCCCAACCAGTCTGGAATTTCCTACCACCGATTTTATCTCTTGCCTGACCTTGTTGAATATGTCAGGGTGGTTGATGAGCTCGGTCATCGTCCATTGCATGGTCTCTGTGGAGGAAATTGTGCCCCCAATGAATAGGTCCTAGCACCACAAAAGCATAAAATTCGAACCAGTGAGACACAGTGTACTATAATTGACTAGCTAGTTTGACAAGGCATCTCTATTGGAAATGTCAAAATGTAAAACAGAATTTAAAGTGAGGTCAAATTCACACGCAGGTAGGGTTGGTCATCGGCCGGCTTTTTCTTTAGCCTTCAGACCTCGAATGATGACCCCTACATGCAAGTGGAACCCGTGTTACAAAAGACAGCTTGCTTTATGGTATTCAAATATGTCGCTCAGAACCATCAAGTCCAAGACAGATTTGACTTATCTATTGGAGCATTTTGCTCCTCTCAGAGATTTTAAAGTTGCACTTTCGACCAAAAAGAAGATTTAGGGTTTGCCTTCAGCAGTGGAGAAGGAGGACCTTCGGTAAGGAAAGAGCCTGCAGAAGACAAAATAGGAGAAGCAATCGTTAAGCTTCGGACACCTGTGTGATGCCGGCCGAAGGCTCTCCAATGCTTAAGTTAGCTAAGAGTAGTAACTTTGGTAGAATAACAGTAAAATGTAAGAAAGTAGTTACCTTTTTTACTAGGGTACTGTTCCCTATTTATAGGGGAGTGAAAGTGAGAGGTTTGTGTAGATTTCCGATGTGGGACTTTGTGCAAGTCGCCATGGTAGTGACACGTGTCCCAGAAGTTAGGTTCATCAATTAGGACCTTCTGCAGTCGGGAGCTTCGGCAGGTGCTTGGCACTTCGGAAGAATGTCTTCTTTCGGCATGGAAGAAGGCGTGTGTGCCTTTGGTGCTAGCTAGTTTGCTTTGAGGTTGGATATGCTCGGTTGATTATGGTGTAAATAGTAGTCTCCCAAGTTCGCGGTCAAGAAGTAACTTCTGAGTTGGGAACTTGTGAGTTTTTGTGTAATCATGACCGAGCATTCCAGATTTAGTAGGAGCCGTAAGGCATTCCTTGGTCCCCCAAGTTGGCAAGCTAGAAGTTGCGTCATCACTTTTTTTTTTTTTTTTGGTCTGAAAGTTGCGTCATCACTTGGAAGGTATGATAACAGCAATGTGAGCCTCTAGAACTGTTGATAGCTAGGTACCTAGACCTTTGGCGAGTCCTTGGCAAGTCCTTGGTTTAGCAAGGAATGGGCCCCTTGGAGCTAGGCCTTGCGTTTTTGTGCTTATGGTTCTGACAATGTCGTCAAGAGACCAAAGCTTTGGTACGGCTGGGCTGGAAGCAAAGTTTTGTGAAGGGCTGAGCAACAAGGGAAACAATTACAATAACATCGATTGAGACAAAACATCAAATAAGGTTGGTTCAAAAAGAGGAGGCTAGCTCCAAGAAAACGAAGGCTTGTTTTCCAGGTTTTCCCTTCTCCCCTTCTTGAAATGTAAAATTTTAACAAGACATGGGCTAATTTGTGTTGAAGAAAGCTCAATCCAAGCTGAAACAAAATGAGAGAGAGAGAGAGAGAGAGAGAGAGAGAGGATGAGAGTAAAATAAGACTACTTACAAGCAAGAAAGCCTTAATTTGAGTTCTGGTAATTTTGAGCTCAGCCTGATCATCCTGATACACTTTCAACAGCAAGTCCATGAAGTCTAACTCCTTTCTCTCCCCTTTCTTCTCATGCTCCTTCAACATCTCCTCCAAAAGCTCATCAAACTCCAAGGACACTTCAGCAAGCTGCTTCCCATAAAGCCAGAAACCCAACCTCTTCAATGGTCCCAACACATCCCCATAAGACACCTTTGTCGCCAACCCAAGTGTCCTCATCATCATCTCCCCAATCCTCGCAGCCTCATCGCCATTCTCCGAACAGCTCGTGCTCATCACCATCTTGCAAGTGGAGTTGTTAGTAAGCTTCATGAGCGCACCACCCAAATCCACAACCTCTTTATTCTCAGCACTCTAAATCAATTTTGTACAAGAATTACCAATTTCTACGTGCCTGGTATTGCGCGAGCGTTCCAGCTGCCGCTGTGCAAACAATTCTGTCATGCAGATCTTCATTTACTTCCAATAGTCCCCGTACTCGGCACCAAAAAAACCTGAGTTCCCGTATGGTAGCTCATCTGCGAAAGCGAATGCCGGGTGATCTTCGAAAGCAAGGTCTTGGGTTTTGAAGATCTCGGTGGCCATGGAGGCTGACGAAACAAGGAGCATTCTAGAAGCGCCGAGGCGGAGGTTAAGGAGAGGGCCACATTCGGTGGAGAGGTTTTGGAAGGAGATGGCTTGGTGAGCTGTGGTTAGATGATGAAGGTGACCAATTACTGGGAGGGCCGGTGGGCTTGGAGGAGGATGAAGTTGAGGGGTTGGCTTGGTGGAGTATTTGTTGAACAAGGATCTAAGTAGGAGGGTTGAGAGATAGCATATGAGGAAGTAGAGAAGGTAGTGTTGGGCATCGGTTATTGTTGCCCTAGCTATTTGATGTTAGGAAATTGGATGATCTACAACTCAACAAGACATAGTTCAATTGCCTTGGTTGCGTTATTGCTTTGCAAATTTCACAGATGAGCTTAATTCAAGAGCCGGCGAGGCTAACCTGATTTGCATTGTTTGCCTGAAATTTACTTTTGCTGATGTCACATGAGATTCTTCCAATTGAAAAATACTTTCGTTCAACTTTGTAAGGCGCCATTCATACTTTTGTTAAACTTTGAAAGGCGCCATTCATCTTCATCGGGCAACATCGTTTTAATCATGATTTTTAAGCAAGGAAACTCCCAAGTATGACCAACATTTTCACATTTTACTAAAACTCTTCCCAATTGCCATCTCTCTTGAACATCACTCAATAATAATGGTGCTTTTGATCTTTTATATATAGCCTTTTTTTATTGTCTTGTTGCACGACTTTTTTTTTCTGTCAACTTAATGATGATGCACTTCATTTCTCTGAGCAAAAAATTGTGGAAAGCTGCCACAAACAATGGCTTCCAAGTCCTCTCTCTGGTTCATATGTTATTGCTTCTTATAAAAAGAAAATAGGAAAAGTTTTTAAACCCATACAGAGAGCTCATAGGAGTGGTGGAGAAGAAAGTGCATTAAGCGGAAGTCTTGGAATTAATACACTTCATCAAGCCTCAGTTCCTTCCTATACAAGCCTCTTTTGTTCCCTGGGAAATAAATCCTAGAGCTACTTCTCCTCAGTAAAGCTGTAGCTCATATGAATGTATTGGTAACTCATTTCAAAGTTAAAAAAACTGCCCTGCATGCAGTACCCACTGAAAACAAAACCTGCTACTTTTCATAATCACTTTTCTTTGCTACAGCATTATAATCGTCGTTTTGTCTTTTATCCAACACTCGAATCATCAACAAATTAATTTTGTTCTAACCCCTACTTTTAGTATCACTTTGAATGTCTTGATAACGTGTTCTATAAACTACAGTTCGCCGGATGATGATTATGATTACCTGTGCTTTTCGTCATGGCACAGAACAGTCATCTTCGTTGAAATTCATCTGACAATGCTGCCAACTCCATCCTATATACTTGAGGATAAATCGTGAGTTCAACCATCCTCTGATCTCACAAAACAGGCTTTTTACAAGAAACGTTCCTGCTAAGGAAACAATATCAGAGATTCTACATGTTAGCGAAATGAACTCAATGGATTCACTAAAAACAAGGACCCTGCGAATGTCAACCTAGGAAAATACCCTTTTACCAAGGAAAGTGCCTTGCATGTTAGGCTGCACCCCTTAAGTGCAGTGGATTTCAAGAAAAATCCCTGCTCAGTGTTTATGGTAAAAGCATGGTTGAAATAAATCTTAAAACATGTTACTATTGCTTAGTTGAATTACATTTCGCAGGCTATATGGGCAGAAGGGCTGACGTATAACTGGTACAAGCCAGAAGAGTGAAATGATGGAAAGTGCACAAAAGTTGGGCTTCCAACGAAAAAAAACATTCCTAGGAAATATTTTCTAATTAGGCATATGACTACAAAAAGGTAAATTTGTATTTTTTTTATTTCTAAAATTACCGTTCTTAATAGGGGGGCCATTCAAGATAAGTGTAAAAGGGAAATAATAAGTAAAATTAATTAAAAGATACAGCATTTCCAGTACAGAAAAGATACTTACTTTCAGAAGAAATGGCTGGCCATTAAAAGTTGTGGGACCTCTTTGTCTTCTTCAACCTCTGCCGAAGCTTCAGCTTTAATTTCTTGAACTCTTTCATCCCATATGTTATCTATCAGCTTCCAAGTTTTATCATTGACTCGTTGGGTCTGCAAAAAGAATTAGACAACAATTGGCTAGCATGATGACAAACATTGCAATAGAAAAACCCCGGTAAAGCATAATTCTCTAGATACCTCCATAGGGCGGGGAGCACCAAAGGTTGAAAATCCAGCATTTCCAGGTGAAAATGTAACTCTCCCGGGGAGTGTGACCCCATGGATTCCCCATCGCCCAGCGTAAATTAGGGCTCCATATTCATCAACCGGCTTCACTGCAGGCTGAAGAATGAGCAAGAACAAATGCTTCAAATGCACACATCATTGGAGATGCCAAGGCAATAGAAGTTCAATAATCGTCTATTCATGGACCCAAAGTTTAAACACTTCTATTAGATTGTGAACATTTTCTAGATAAATGAAGGTTCCTCTACATATCTTACATCATCAACACTGACGGGGGAAAGATGTATTGGGTCAGGAGTGTACTAAGAATCACAGAAGGGTGAACTCACATTTATATAGATCAATAAAAGATAGCTTTTCATTTGAATTGTCAGCCGTATTAATTTAGAATAAACATAAACTACCGATGAATGAGAGGAAAGACAAGGAAAGCACATGCGAAAAAAATGAAAGAAAATAGTTTCAGATACCTCACTCTAATTCAAAATAATTATGTCCAGAATTATCATGTTAACATTAAGAAATTCAACACTTATCCATAAGAAAAATACGAGCCCACAAATACAGCAGGCCATAACAATTACTATCCAACGCTATGTTTAAGATCTACCTGAGGTATCCGAGGAGACCTTTTATATATGTCCCAAATTTCTTCAGCTTTAATCTCTCCCTTTTCAAGTAAAATATCTGCATGACATGAAAGCATTGAGCCAACCACTAAGTAGTGCATGATTACAACTTGACTAAGTATGAAAGCTCAACCTCTCACACAACCAAAGTCTAACCAACAACTTATTTTTCAATTTTCAATTGAATCAAACAGATTAATAACCTGTAATTGTCTCTACAGCTGAATGGTACTCCCTTAGTACAGATGAACATTTGTCCTCAGCATAACGCATATATTCATCTCGAAGTGCTTCAAGCTTGGCTGCAAGCTGTTTTAAATTCACAAATTACTGAAGCTATTTGGGTCCTCCAGAAAAGTAATTTTTTCTGAAATGATATAGAATGTAACTCAAATCTATGAAGCATACATTTGGCACAAGATCACTTTGATTCCTGTAGTATGCTTTTCCATATGCTGTCATTCCTGTCTGCAGAATAAGAAATTCTGCAAGCCTCGAAGCTTCTAATGTGGCCTTTGCAGATATCCAACACAAGTTGTCAACTCCAAACATCTCCTCCTCAATAACTCTAGCTACAAATTAGGGCAATCAGTAAGCCATACACTTCCTTTCTGCAGTTGTATGATTAGATTTAACAAGAAAACCAAAAAGTAAAAATCAACAGAAGCAAAAGCAGAATAAATTCATCCAGGTACCATTGCTTGATAATCAGGTTCATATCAAGGAGTGAGCCTTACAACTCCTGGTTCAACATCAAAAGCACTGATGCATACATGGGGTCACTTCAGGCCTAAATTCAGCTGTAGGTGCTACTTTGATTTTATATCAATAAGCTGTCGCGTATCCTAACCCTAAAATCTTAGCAGTAAAGTTCAAGTAGTTTGAATGCTTTTTTTTATTTTTTATGAAGAAGTAGTTTGAATGCTTTCTATTAACTTAAAGAACCCTTCTCCACGGGCTTAGATAACACCCTTTGTAATCTCCTTTCAGATTGTATAGGTTTATTAGAATTCAAAAATCAAATAGTTGTTAAGATTTATTTTGTACATAAGAAATGAGGTTGAAGGTTGCCTACAAAGGTTTGCTCATGATGCAGGACAGTGCGTCATAAATCGATATATCAAAACCTACTCTCTTTTAATTTCCTAATTATTGCATTACCAATTTACCACGGACACTTCTCTTTGGACCAAAAAAGACCAAAAATTTTCAGAAATTAAAACACATTTGAATGCAGGTTTTCAAATATGCACTCAAGCATGGTCCATGAACGCTAGAGTCTACAGAAAACATGTCACAGGATGATCGAACATACGTTATTGTAATATGTGTGTGACAAAAGGTTAACCATTTTTAAGATATTCGAATGACTGAAAGAGAAACATATTTATATAAAAAAAACTCCAGCATGATGAGCAAGAAAGACAAACATAGCTCTTAAAAGTAAACTTGCTAGCAAGACAAATTTTTTGTACTTACGAGCACATGCACGCACTATAGAGTTTACAAAATCCGATTTTCTTGAGAAGACCTTCCCTGATATTTCAGTGTAGCGCATATTTGGCTGACTACGGATGGATTTTATATCTGTCTGAAGAAGATAGAAAATATGAAATTAGCATGTTGGTAGACACAAAAATACATGCAACACATAGTAAAACAAAGTAGAACAATTAACCTCAGTGAAAGGGTGGTATGGATCAGGAAAGTAGCAGGCAAGGACAGCAACAGCTGCTTCTCGATATGCCAATCTCAGTTTTAGTTCCTCTGGAATTTCAGTACTATCTTCCTGACCTGTTTCAAACGTGCCCTTTTGCTGCAAATTGATAAACAAATACATGAACATGTGAGGCAGTAAGCCAGTCTATATAATTGGTTTACTTGAGCTATGTTGTTAGGGAAGTGGGAACAGGGGGTGTATAATATCGCCCAAAAAGGGATAGCTGGATGGGGAAAAACTCCACCAACCCTTTTCAAAGCCTCCAGAAGCTCTTCTCGTCCGATGAAATCTAAGTCCTTCCTGGCAGTCAAAATTCCAGCTTCATTCCTGTCAGGTGACGGGAAAAATGTAAGCATCAGTGCATCACTCTATTGTTACTGAATTGAAAATTTTAACTACCAATTAGGAATAAATTACAGTATGTTCTGCAACTCTGCACCCGTGAAATCCTCTGTAAGCTCTGCAATTTCCTGAAGGAGAACCTCCTTCTCCTCTTCAGAACGAAAAATTTTATTTCTAGCATGCACCTATTCGCATAAAAAGTAGAACGTTATGCAAGGACTAGGCAAATTTCAGAAGCTAGAGTTTCTAATGCTAGAAGCAATAAAAAAAAACACCTTCAAGATGGCCAGTCTACCATCCTTTGATGGCAAACCAACTCTTATAATCTTGTCAAAGCGGCCCTTTCTCAATAGAGCAGGATCAAGGATATCTAATCTATTTGTTGCACCTATAACTAGCACCTGAAAAAGACAAAATTAGCAGCAAAGATACAAAATTTCCTATTCAATTCAAGGAGGAAGAAAATACATACCTGTGAGGTAAACTCTTTAAATCCATCCATCTCTGTTAGTATCTGAAGCAGGCCTTGTTCCCTTTCTGCACCACCCTTCATAGGACAATTGCAGAGACCAAAAACGATGGTGTGAATTATAATCATGAAATCAACAAAAGATTATTAAATTCAAAATGGCACCAGTTAACTAATTCAGCAACTTCATAAAGAATGAACATGTATAAGTGCCTATTTGGAAGTCTGTTTGGCACCAATAAAATGAACGGCAATTACATCTGTTTGGGTAAAACCATTACACATTTTTGTATTATCGAATCTGCAACTGCAACTTGAAAAAGTGGCACTCATAAAACTTTTGCAAAAATGTGAAGCTAAATGATGATTTTTTTAATAAATAAAAATGTAAAAAATTGTATAAATGGGTACAGAAATTTTTCCCTGATAACAATTGTTGAAGAATATAAGTCCTACATGGAAACTTGACTAAATAAACATATCATGAATGGTTACACTATTAATACCATTGAGGCCTTTTGTGATAACACCTACTGGGCTTTGTAGGTGGTTAAGTTAGGGATAATATCGGTGTTGCTAGTAGTGGGCCGCTGACCCGTATCTCTGAAATTTAACATGGTATCAAAGCAGGTTGATTGATTGGGCCCAAATTAGTAGTGGGCCTTTACCCTTACCCCTTACTCCTTACCCAACATGTGGTGTTCGCATGTTGGGCTTGAATATTTACCCTTCCCCAATACATGGTGTTCACGTGTTGGCTTGAATATTTGACTCCGATGTGGACTTGGCTCCATGTGTAGCCCACTATGTGGTGGTCCCATGTGAGGGAGTGTGTTGAAGAATATAAGTCTCACATTAGAAACTTGACTAAATAAACACATAATGAATGGTTACACTACTAATATCACCGAGGCCTTTTGTGATAAAACCCCACACCTACGGGGTTTTGGAGATGGCTAAGTTGGGGACAATATTGGTGTTGCTAGTAGGGGCCGCTGGCCCATCTCTATGAAATTTAACTACTACTATAATCACAAGATAAACCAACATTTTTATAAGCAGTACACTCCTAGCTTTTGCATGTTGATTTGTATTTTCATAAGAAACAAAATATTTTATTGAAATTAAACTGATTATGTTTGTGGGGGACACGTTTTCCACTGTTCACATAATAAGATCTAGAGTACATAAATCTCTATCATATCTGTACCATTATTAAAGCATCATGCATGCAATGGTACAGAATAATAGCAAAATGATAGTATATCATGGGCAATGTAAATAAAACGAAAACAAACAGACTTTATAAGAATATAAAACCCAAGAATATTGTAAAGCCTTGTCTATCTTTCAAGGTAATGCACTAAGACCACACAAGAATGAAAATTTATAAATAAATAAAAAAAACAACTGCCAACCATTAATTCATTACTTTTCATCTCCCCTTCTTTTCTTTATGAAGACGTAGGAAAGAAAAAGAAAACAAAACTGAGAGAGAGAGAGAGAGAGAGAGAGAGAGAGAGAGAGAGAGGGAAACAATATCTATTGACTTACCCCACCAATATCAGGTCCACCACGTTTGCTACCAATGGCATCTATCTCATCAATAAATATAATGGATGGTGAGAATTTTCTGGCACTAGCAAATAAATCCTTGACACGAGATGCTGCGACACCTACAAACATCTGGAGAAAATTTAAGTTAGATTATCTTCTTTTACCAGCACAGTATTGATTGTGCTGTATGGAGACAACAACCAATTATATGCCTCTAAGAAGGCATTAAAATAAAGTATTGTACTAACTGTTCCAGGTAAATGCTAAAAATATCTACATGCATTTTAATAACATGCTGTTTGATCCTCATAAAATTTGGTTTTACAAAGGCATTTAATCCTTTACATTTCAAAACCATGACTTCAAAAATCTGCTCGGACCTCTACAAAATCAGTGCCATTTGCTGCAAAGAAAGGCAGTCCTGCTTCGCCAGCAATAGCTTTAGCCAGAAGTGTTTTGCCAGTTCCTGGAGGTCCATGAAGAAGTACACCTTTTGGGCAATAGATGCCTTTGTCTTGAAACTCTTCATCGTTCTTTAAAATTCTAACGATCTCCTGCAGTTCCCGCTTTATATATTCCTGGCCAGCAAAATCATCAAAGGTAATGCCAGTAGATTCTTCTGCTGATATAAATTTTGCCCTGGCGGAAAAGCAACTATAATTAGGACCCGGAAAGGTGATTGTTAGCAGAATTTGATGCCCCAATTAAATACACAATTATTGTGCACATTGTCATGTTCTAATTTTGCAGGGTGCTCCAAACATCATGTTCTGAAAAATTGAACTATCTAAAGAATCTTGACATGTTCTCAATTTGTTTTATAAACAGAATAACCGAACAACTATTGTCCAAGTTATTTTCCCCATCAAAATGAAAACACCCGTAAGTCAAACAGCCAACTAACTCTTCTTATTAAAACATCCCACTTACTCTAACGACAGAAGGGCATAATGTACTATGAAAAAAATCTGTCCCAAGACCCCCTTTGAACAACTATATGAGTTTTATAAATCAATAATATATGAAACCAATTCCAAAAATGCTTGACAATGCCCCAAACAACAAGTGACCTAGCAGTTTCTGAAAATGAAGAATCCAACATGTCACCAAGAAATTACTCTCCACATACCGGCTCTTGCCTAATGATCCAAGTGCACGACGCTTGAGTGGCTGCCTGGTTTTTTTGCTAGGAGTTCCTAAATCACAAGGTATTAACTTTGCATAAATTGGCCGCATCAAGTTGTCAATCCAGAGATACAATACAATAGACAACGCAAGCCGCATAGACCATATGACTGCAGTTGCAACGGTAGAATATATTTCAGCAGGTACTGTATCAACATTCAGAACCTCAACATTTACTATTTGCTGATGCAACTTCTGCCAAACATCATTCCAACTGTCTATTGGCATCCGGTCAACAACATGACGCCGAAAAATAACCTCCTTTTTTGAATTTCCTTTTGCTCCTTCCATTTTCTCATCTTTGTAGTAAGGTAGAATCACTGCAGAAGTAGGCCATTATTGAGCGCAATGATTTAAAGGAATAAAGATGACACGTTTACAAACTAGGCAATGTGCTGGCATATGCAACTATCACCAGAGAGACAAAGAACCAAAGAGGTAAATGTGTTTCAGAGGTTACAACGTATTTTTCTGATAAGAAACAAAAATTCATTATGAAGAGAAAGAACAGAAAACACAGGGAACAAGGTGTACAAAAAACAAAACATTTAAAGCAAAACTAATTCACAACCACATTCCAATCAGAATAAAAAACATGAAAAGACCAATGCTTAAAATCTAAAGAAACTGAAGCCCATAAGTCTGTGCCCAATGAAACATGATGATACAAACAAATACCCAATAGCAACAGAACTCCATCTTACTCCATCTTTTAATGGATAAGACACACCATTAAATGCATCAGATATTTGAAAGCAACAACTGCATTGACTAAAAGCACGGCAAGGAAATATTTTTAGTGCATGGAAATTAAAAGAAGAAAAAAATTGAGTACAATGGCCTAAATTTGAACAATAGCAGCAAATGAAAAAAGTACCAATGACTGGGAACACAATTTAAATCACATTAGATAAGAAAAAAAAATTATACCTGATATTGTTTGGCCATAGTTTGAGTACTCCATAAACTGGACGTTATTTGAGTTCAGGAGTCTCCAAAAGTCACTGAAGTCAATCCTGTGTGAGTTCTCAGGATCCCACTCTGATCCCCTTAACTTCCCACGCATAGTCAACAAGGCCCTGCTCCAATTTGAAGCCATGACAAGCTGTCTCTCTAACTGCATGTTCGCCTTGTTATCAAGTTCTTCTAACTCATTTATTCTTTGTTTCTCGGCATCCTTCAATTTCTATAAATTAAGAAGAACTAATAAGTAAAAGAATCCAAATAACTGTCATTGAACAAGTTTTCCTTTTGGATTCATTGAATTAGTCTTCTAACTCAAACAACCAGCACAAATCAAACTTACCATTAAGATTCATCCTTTTCCTTCATTTTCCCAATCCCCAAACAGACTATATACAAATCCCCACAAACACATAACCAAAACCACCGTTGTACGACCACAATTGACTGCCAACAAAAAATATGAAAACCTTATTTTCCAATGATTAGAACAGCATATGAAGCCGAATTACTTTCTTAATTCTTCACATTCATTATATTCCCGTGAATTTCTCAATACCTAAACAGACCCAAAAAAGATAAACTACAACAACCCATCACCAAAAGACACACAAGCAACAAAAATCTGAAGAAAAAAAAAATATATATATATATACCTCAAAAGCCCCAACGACCAAGTTCGTCGTTCCTAAATCGATATCTTCAACTTTCTTGTTGACTATGCGAAGCGGTCCGACTCTTCTAACGAAATTGGATGTCGGGGTCATAAACATAAAGCCATTTGATGGCGACGTTTGGCCTAGTCTCTGACCTAAAAACAAAGCCCTTGGGGTTGTGAAATTGGGGCTCTTGAATGAAGAACCATGCGCAGTGCCCAGGACGTTGATTCCAGCCGTGTAGGAAGTCATCACTGAGAATTTTCGGGTGAATCAGGGCTTTTCGTTCATCGCAAGTATGAGAGTCTTGTCCCAGCGCACTGGAAGCTTCTTAGACAAGGCAAGGATCGAAAATGTGATTCGGCTTGACCTAATGAAGGATAATAGTTGGCCTTTGCAAACTTATGCTCGGTCGAGACTTGGTGTTGAATAACGACGATGTCGGAGGAGATGTTTCGTGACGAACCAAGTGAAGTGAAGTGAAATGAGGAGATAAGGGGAAAGAAGAGAAACAAGTGCAAGGGTTTTTGGAATGTTCTATTGCTCGTTATGAATTTTTTTTTTTTTTTTAATTATTATTTTTTTAGTGCTGCTAAAATTACCTGAACATGCCATACAACCAAATTATTTATTAAATTACTAAGAGATATTCTCCCACTAGGGTGTGGCCCTGGCAAAAGAGGGCCTGAGCCCCATTTTGCGATTCCACCGGCTTTAAGTAGCCGGTTTAGTGTGCGGGGGCCACTAAACTGAGTGGGCCCAAAATTCTGAAATGGGCTTGAATTCCATATTGCCCTAGAAAATTAACAGTAGACTACAACGAATTTGGAATAAAGTAATCTTCAAAAAGATTCTTACCCCTAGAATGCCTACGTCTGTTCACGTTTGGGCCACGACCAACTTGTGAACTACGGTGGTGGCCTTGGCTTAATAGATGAAGCATACCCACTACTATAGCAACTTGTTCATCATCTTCTTCCTCCTCCCCTTCTTCTTCAGCTCGTCTGCACCTTCTTTCTTTCATTTCTCGCTCTTCCCTCTCCAAGCACCTCCTCATGTAAAACACTGAGAGTAGACTATGAAATCTAAAATATGAGAAATGAAAAGATAGAGAGGATATGGTGTGAGAGGTTTGAGTTGAGGCTCTGGTTTATAGAGGGATTTAGAAGATAGAGATAACACGTGACACAATTTTAAAGGGTGAAAATCTTATCTGAAATATGATATTTGTATTTTATAATAAATATTGACACGTGGCAACCAAAAATCTTATCCGAAAATCTTATCAGAAATTTGAGATGTGAATTTTATAATTAATATGGATACGTGGCAATCGAAAAATCCAAAAAATTCATCCAAAATATGATATGTGAATTTTATAATAAATATTGACACGTGGCAACCAAAAATCTTATCCAAATTAATCGTTTAAGTAAAATTAAATAAATAAAAAAAGTAAATAGTATTTGCCCTTTGTCATTTTAATGGGTGGAAACACGACAAGCCTTTTGCAAGGGCTGCTACTATTCACTTGAATAGTAACAACCATTGCCTTGCCCTTGCCCTTGCCCTTTGCCATGACAAATAGGTAGAAGTGCTCTAATTTATCTTGATATAAAATGACCAAAATATATATATTGAATTGTGTACCCCAATATATACACCGTCCTTAAGACTTAACACATGTCCATTGTTATAACTATGGTCAACTCTTTAATTTTAAATCGTTTAAAGTATTTAAAACCAAAAAATAAAGTTTTAAAAAAACACATCTCCTTCTCGACCCACCCCACCCTGAAACCTTAGGGCCCGTTCGATAATGTTTTTAGAGCTTGTTTTCTGTTTTTGTTTCCTGTTTTTCACAAAAAACACGTTCGGTGCATCGTTTTCGTTTTCCCTCACAAAACGTTTTCTGAAAACAAATCTGACTTTGTGAACAAAAGTTGAAAATGAAAAAAAGTTGTTTTCAGTGATTTCATTTTCAGTGTTTTCCGAAGACACAAGAATGCATCCCATCAACAACTCTAGCTCTCTCTCTTGACAACCAATAAACCCACCAACAGGAACAACACCCATCTTCTCCGACCCAAAATAAACAAATCTGCAAATTAAGAAAAAAAAAACAGAGGAAGAAGAAGAAAAAAAAACAGAGACAAGAAGAAGAACCACCACATACCCAACTCAACCACCATCATCACCCAATCAAACCATCACAGCCATGGAAGGAAGGAGGAGTGGGTGTGGCCTGGGAAGGAAAGGAAGAAGAAAAGAGGAAGAAAAGGAGAAAAAAGAAACGGCCTGGGGAAGGAAAGGAAGAAGAAAAGGGGAAGAAAGTAGGAAAGAGGAAGAAAAAGAGAAAAAAGAAGCAGCCATGTGAAGGAAAAGAAGAAGAAAAAAGGAGGAAAGAGAGAAAAGGAGAAAAAGAAGAAAAAGAAAAAAAGGAAAAAAAGGAGATAAGGTAGTTTTTGAGCTTAATTTTTTTTCATTGTTTACAATAATTTTAGCCTCTAAAAATATCAGAATTAAAAAAAATTAGAACTAAAATTAGCAAAAATACACCTGAAAAACAATTGTACTACCAGACACGTTTTCATTGTTTTTGTTTTCTAAAGATGTTTTCTAATTAATCTACCAGACGCATTTTCATTTCCTGAAAATGCAAATTTGTTTTCTTGTTTTCATTCTCTGAAAATATTCTCAGAAAACATTCTCCGAAAACGTTACCAGACGGGCCCTTATTCTCTACACCACCCCCCTCAACAACCTTAGTCATCATTTCTCCTTCAACTCCGACGACAACTCATTAAAACCCAATTCTCAAATGCAACAATCCAATCCCAATCCCAATCCCAATTCAGATGTTTCCAAAAAAAAACCCATGGTGGTCGTGGTGGAGAACTACAATTCCATGTGGTGGTGGTCGCACAAGAGAGAGATAGGGAAAAAAAAAAAAAACTGCAGCGTCAAGGGGAGAGAGTGTAACACCCCGACTCTATTTAATTTCCGATGCAAAGGGTAAAACTAAATTAAATGTGAAATTACGAAACTACCCTTGGGGTAGGGTATTTCGGTCATTTTCTTGTCCGGAAGGATTTTGGGACCACAAGTGGTTTGGTTGCGTAGGTGGTTCTGAGATGAATTCGTGGACAGGCGGTAGGCTTGAATCGGAATTATAACGAGGTTTTGGCGATGAAATTTCTTTCGGTGGCAAAACCGTAAATAACTCGAAAAAGGTATTTGTAAAAATAAAATCAGATTTTTTCATTTTCAGTTTATATTTTTCTCTCTCTCCCGTGCGTTCTCTCTCTCTCTCCCGCGAGACCTCTCTCCCGTCACTGTTCACCCGAGCGGAATTCTTCACGCCACCGCTTCCTCCGGTCACCATTCGAGGTGGTGTTGGTCCCAAAATGACCGGCTGATCTTCCACTTCCAACCCCAGCCAAGCTCCGTCGCCAGCAGCTGCAAATTTCGCCGGAAATTGCAGAAAATCCGGCGGTTTTTCCCGAATTTTCAAATCGCTCGTTCTCTCTCATTTCTCCACCAAATTGGACGTATAAGGTATGGATTTCTACCTATTTTTCATGCTCTAGCTGATGGTTGGATAGGATTGCATCGATTTTGAGCGTAGGATGTCTGATTTTCGACTTAGGTTTTGGCCGGATTTCGGGATGAAATTCCGGCCACTTCCGGTCAATTTTTGTGGTATGCCCAAGAACAAAAGTGGCTCCAAATAGGGTGTTACACCAAGGATAGGAGTCTTGAGCCGAGATTTTGAGATTTTCCGGCCAAGCTTAATCGCTTTGGACACCCACACGCTGCCAGCGCGTGTGGCGGCACGTGGGAAAGTGTGGTGGAGCTGTAAATCATTTCAGTGTGATCCTTAGGTTCTCACGAGTGCGTAGGATTTCGCGGATCTCGATTCCGAGGTCGTTTGACAATCGAACGAATTATCGCATATTGTGCGTTATTCGGGTTCGATATGTTCCGACCGTTGGATCGTTTTCAAAATGAAGTATGTATGTTCGTCTAGATACCCTTAGGATCGTGTAGGATTCGACGGATCGTAAAACGGAGTCCCGGATACTCCGAAAATGCTAACCCTAGGGTGAGGGTTTCAGTAACCGTCCAATTGTGCGATCGTGAGCGGTCTAACCGTCCGTTTCGGACCAAACTTACGGGACGTGTATCCCAGACCTCGTAAAACCTATAGGAACTCCCGGGAAGCTAGGGTTTATTTCAAAGTTCTGTTTTAAAGTGCTTGATATTCATCGCATTTTCGTATTCTGAATCAGGTACCCCGCCCCAGCATACGCAGCAGGCGGGACCCTCTAAGGGTCAAGCTGTGTGGGACTACTTGTGAGTGGACTTTTCTTTTGAAACTCAGTATGATTTCATTCATGGAAATATGGCATATAGTTTTATTATATTTATCAAGAATTATATGCTCGAATGAAAGTTCGAGGCTTTCATAAAACTTATTATAACAATTGACTTTTGAGAAGCTATATTTACATGCGTCTATGCATGGGGTACGTGGTGGTTGATATGAGCTATAGAAAGGTAATATTTGATCTGTTAAGTGAAGTGCGTTAAGCACTAATTCATGTACCTCTCCTGATCTGATTTTGGTTACGGATATCGAGTACTTTTGAAATTATGAGAACTCAGAACATCCTTGAGGGGATGTTGCTGTGGACCCTGGATTTGGGGTAGTCTGCGCGCGTAGGACAGGTATTTCAGGCGTACAAGCTTTGACTGTGTCGGCTGTACGTGCTGGCTGAGAGTTAGTCCCCCAGTTGGACGGCTCGTTCCCTAGACACATGGTGAATTGAGGAATGGCTCTGCCATGTGGACTAGTCAAACAGTCCCCCGGTTGGATTGTTTCCCCGGTACAATTAAATATTGGTGATATTCATATACTATTATTATTAATAATATTATTATTATTCTGTTACGTCATATATTTAGTATGTATATAATTATATGTACGTATGACTGTTCTTTGGTTCTATTTCTCGGTAAGGATACTTCCTCGCC